AACACTTCCCGCTGAGAACAGACAAGGGCCCATGGCCTGCCAGGTAGTGCTGGGAGGGCATAAGTTGTGCCTGCTGAGAGACGGCACAAGTGCAGTGTCCAGGGAGAGTACCGTTCTTGTTCTGCCAGGCAGGAATCACTTCACTGCACATCTCAGTGAGCAGTTCCCAGCAGTGCTCCCCTGGGACCGTGGCAGCTGGAGCCGTGTCTGGCGGCAGCACCGCACCCTGTGGTGGCACCGAGGGCTTTGGGCTGGCAGGGGACAAGCCCCATGGGAGTGGAGCAGGACACCAGGGCTGGCGTTGAGTGTGCAGCTGCCGATACCAGCAGGGCTGCTCCTGGTGCATGCTGGTGATGAAATCCTGGGAATGTGCAGAAAGGGATTACATGCACTTGTTTTGCAGGGAATCCTTCATCTGGGGCTGCAGCACATGAGGATGGTTTTTCAGTCTCTGCAGCCTGGTTCTGATTAGAACCTGTGGCCTGGAAGTGCAAGGCTCTGCAGCACGTTCCCCAATCCCCTGGGTCACTCCCTCCCCCTGGAGAATTCCTGGGCACATGTGGTACAAGATAGAGCCATCGGCGTATCCTGCTCACCCCTGGGAGTGCTGATTACCATGTGCTGCTGCAGCCTCTGTGAAGGTCGTGGTGGAAAGGTGGAAGGGGACTTTGTACTGACTGAAATGCATTGGACTGTGACTCTCTGGGTCTGCAGAGCCTGTGTGAGAGGCGCAGGGCATGTCCCTGTCTCTCTCGGCACAAACCAACACTTGGATTGGCTCTAAGATGTTTACTTGAAATTAACTCTGGTTAAGCATGTGCAGTTACTGAATCCAGCTTCTAAACTACGTTTGCTAGAGACTGCAGACCCTGGCCCAGTGTGAAAGAGACCACGGACAAAAGCAAATCATCAGCTTTGTACTTGCGGAGAAAGTTAAACAAGAGGCTCTGATTTTGTTCAGAGTTAGATTTGTGGTTGCAGGTGTCTCTGTGCTCCTCCCAAAGTGGCAGCTGAATTGCAGTAAATATATTTAATGTAGTGCTCCTGAGAAAACTTTCAGGTGTGGAAGCCTTAAACTCTGGGCTCCTAAAAGCAGTTTCAGGCACTTCAAAGGGAAGCTGTAGCTTTTCAAAGCAGGATAGACTTCAGGATGCAGGTATTTGTGATCTCTGAGAGCAGCACTGTAACTGCAAGCTGCATGCACAGATGCTGTACTGGCACACCTCAGACTGTCTGTGCAGTTACTGGTGCTGGTGCCGCAGCACATTCCAGAGGCCAGGATGGATTGCTGTCTCCCAAGGTGCGGATTATGAAACAGGAGGAGCCTATGGAGACAGGGCTGCTTGCCATCTGTTGAAGTGAGAGCATATTTTAAGCTGGAGGATATTTATTCATATTAAGCTGAAGGGTTTTTATTTGCAGGCACATGTTTGTAGTTGTTGGTTGTTTCCAGATTTTCATTCAGCATCTGCTCTTTAGATTTTCAGTTTATCAATAGACTTGTGTCCTGTCTTCAAAGTGCCCCAGAGCTGGCTGTGGATCGTGTCTGCATGCAGACAGACAGCCTGCAGATATGGGAGTTCATTGTACAGATAAGCCTTAGCTCTGATGGACTTGAGTTTTTGGTGACGGATAACGTGGAAGCGAGTGGAATTGACACAGTAGGAAGGGCTGTGCAGGGGGTTCTCACACCCTCCAAGCACAGGTCAGAGCAGCACAGCTGCCTCGTGGGAGGTCCTGGCAGTTACTGCTTTCCGAATCTGGTTTGTTCCTGCAAAGAACCAGGGCAGACACACTGAGTATCGTTTCTGTGCCTGCTGAGCGGACCAGGAGCTGTCACTGATGCTTGGGATGAGTGAGATTTGGGCAGACAGCTCTTACCCTTGACCTCTGCACGGCAGGCTCTGCCTGCTCCTCCTCTCTGGGCTTAGCTGACTGGGAGCGCTCGGCAGAAATGAACTGACTGGTTGTGTCAGCGGTTTCGGGTGCATTCCTAGAGGCAATGCTTGTGGGGGGAATGTTCGGGTCTGACTGTCCAGGCCAGTGAGGCAAACACTACCTGGGAAGGAGGAAGGCAGTGCGAGAGGGATGTGGAACAGGCAAAGTCACCTGCTGCTCTGTGCCGGAGAGGCTGATCTCTGTCCAGGGCAGAACTGGCTGTTGTGCTGCCAGTAACCTCTCTCACAGTGTGCAGAGCTCCTGATAGATCATACTGCACCGACTGATCTGCTGATACATGTCTGTTCTTTGGCACCAGTTCCTGCCATAATTATCTGCCTAATGTCTGGAGAGACAGCAAATAATCTTGCATAAAACCCACCCCGTGTCCTGGGTTGTTTTTGCAGAAGAAACAGCTTTCAGAAAGAAGAGGCTGTGCATTAAGTTCATCCCTCGGGATTCTACAGAGGCAGCAATCTGCGACATCCGAATCCTGGGGAGGTCTAAGCAAGCTCCTCCTCAGTACACATTCATAGGGTAAGTGCCCTTCGCTCCAAAGCTCTTGGTATAAATTCAGGCTATGCACCCTGTGTTCCTGTAATTACTAAGCAGTAGTTTGTGAGAACTGAAGCTTGTCATTAGAAAAGTCCAAGTAAGTCCAAGTGTTATGGAGTTTGATGTAGGAATTAGCTCACTCCTTTATTTTCATTTAGCCTGGTTCGCTTACCTACCTGAGGTGTTTGTGAAATGTGTCAGTGCTTGATGCTCATGCATGTGAGCAGCACTGGCTTGTGGCATTGATGCCTTCTGTGTGGGTTCCCCAGGGAGCTGAACAGCATGGGCATCTGGTACCGGATGGGTCGAGTGCCGCGCAACCACGACTCCGCACAGCCTGCAGCTCCTCCTGCCCCAGCACCCACTCCCACACCTGCTCCCAACCTGCCCAGGTATGTTTGCTGCTCGGCGTGTGGTTGCTAACCTTGTCTGGGGAACCAAGGCCAGGGTAGCACATGAGTACAGAACAATCACAGCATGATCCAATAAGGAGGGAACGTGCCGTTTGTTCAAGTATTTGCCTTTGCCTGTCCTTGTGTAAAGATACATGAATGGAGAAGCCAGAAGAAGGAAAAAGCCTGCAGAGGAAGGGAAACAACAAACTGCACTTTCTTTTGCTTCAAACTGTTTGGGATGTTGTGGTTTCCAATAAGTATATGTGGGCCAGCCTGGGAGGGTGGGCTGGAGCTGCAGCCAGGCTGATTGCTCACCTTGACCAGAGGGAGGGAGAAGCGTTGACACTGACTTTAGTAGGGAAACACAAGGTCTGCTCATCTCCTGGGTCAGTCCACACATGGTTAGAAGTACTGGCTCTTGATTTTTATTTTCTGGATCCCAGCTGCTGAGTTGCAGTCATGCAGCTGACGGGAGTGGGCAGAGCAGCTCGCTCGTCCTGTGGTGGCTGATGGGAGCAGCACTGCTGGGCAGGGGCTGGCACAGTGTCTGTCCAGCCTGTTCTCCCTGTGTGCAGACAACCTTTGCATGTGTGTGTACATGGATGTGCTGGTGTGTGCACTTGCACGTACCAGCAGTCCGGTACTGACAGCTTATTGCGGGATTTCTCTGGACAAAAGCGAGTGTTGCTAAGTCACACAACAGCCCAGACAGAGGTTACACTGAGCACTTTGCTGGCATTTGCTGTGCAAGCACAGCACCCCGTGTGAGTCAGGCTCCTGCCGCTGGGGCTCATGGACTGGGGTGGGCCAGGCCACTGCCAGGGCACAGTGTGTTCTCCGTGGGTCTCTCAGGGCTTTTGCCTAATTAAGCGACCACATATGTTTGCATTAGGCATTTGGTGTACTGCAGATACCTTTACAGTAGTACTGTAACTGTGGAGAGCTAGAATTTCCAAGGAGACAGCAGAGAGGAATTCCAGAGCGATCAGCTTGTGTACAAAGGTCGTTGTATCATATGGGTGGAAATAGCTCATGTCCTTCAGTCTTGATTTACAGGCCGTTTCAGAGTGATGCTTTTAAACTGCTCCAAAGGGTTCCCCAAAAAACTATCAGATATCTTCTTAAGTCAGGTGTGTCCTTATGAGCCTTCACTTGTGACCCAGACTGAAAACCATTGTCCTGTGGTGGCTCTTTGAGCTCTCCAAAGCGTTTGGGTGTTTCTTTCACTGAGAGTTTTGCTCAGTCATGCCCTGATGCACTGTTTGCTGTCGTGTACTCTTAGGTGTCCTGGCAGGCAGGGATGCTGTCATGCTTCTCAGCTGAGAGGGAGGCAGAAGAGGTGAAAAGCCAGCAGTTTTCTGTAGGTTCCTGCCTGTCCCACCAGCAGCTGAGGTGTTACTCTGAAGCTCTGCTGGACTCAAGCTATATGCCAGCCCGGGCCATATGAGATCAGAGAGAAATATATCTTGATTTCAGAGCATAGATCTTCATTTTCTGTCTGGGCAGATTTCCACAGTAAAGAGAAAAAGTTTTCATAGCAAGAGAATGTCAATGGCAGAGTATAATCTGTGAGTGTGGAAGGGTCACTTTGTGGCCGAGCAGGGAAAGCTGCAGAGCAGTGTCAGAGCTGTTGGGAACAGGGCCAGAGTTAGAGCTTAGAGCATCAGCGACAGTCTGAAAAGAAGTGTTTACAAGGCTTATATATTTTATAACCTCTTGTTGTACGGTTTATGGTTTACAATGGCTGCAAGGAAATTGGATCAGTTTTGTTTTACTTGCCAAATAAAGCAAATGTCAGAATAGTCAATATAAAATGTATTCTAATTTGGCTGAGTTAAACCAGCCAGTGTGCAGTGGAGTAATTGAATGTTACATTAATGCCTCCTAGTAAAACCCACCTGTCTGTAGCCAGCTCCACACTCACGCCCGGTGTGTGATTTACAGGTAACTTTTACACCACCAGCCTGATCATTCAAGGCATCTTTCATGTCTGTTTTTTCACTCTGATTATTTATTATCCAATATATTTTTTAAGAAATAGAAATGTATATAAAGGTGCATCTTGCGAATATTTCATTGTTACAGGGAGTACAGATTGCTTGAAAGCCTCTTCTAATACTTTATCAGCAGTGTGATGAGTTGCTCAACACAGCGTTTGTGGAGATTGGAGTCACAAGTAACCTCTTATTTTTACTTCACCACAGAGAGATGAGATTACACTCAGCCAGTTTGCTGTTTTATTCTGTGTGAGTGTATCCTGCTGCAAACAGACCGAGTTGTCCTGAAGCTGCCTGAGCTCCGCGGGAGAGTGGGTGAGCAGTGCCGCACGGAGCACTGCGGAGAGTCTGCTGTTGGGCTGCTCAGACAGCTCGGCTGCTCTCCTCAGCGGCTGTCAGGCATTATAAAGTAATTCTAAATCAAGAGGGTATGCCTGGGTGCTTCAGAATAATCGCTAATGCTGGATGTAAACTCAACCAGTGGAACACACCACTGAGCTTCTGCACAGCAGAGCCTTCCAGAAGGCTCTGTCGGAGATACTTATCTCTGCACCAGCCATGCCTCCTGCTCTGATCATGCTGGAAGGTGCTGATGGCAGTGGATGGCAGCACATCAGTGTTGCCATGTGTCAGAGGTATGACCTGCACAGCTTGCTGCACGTCAGCTTGGCTGTCTCCACCACCCATGTCGCAGGGTTATGGCTTGTAGTCAGGGCTGCACAGGTGGAGGCTTTGTTTGAGAGTTGTGCTGGACTGTGTATGGTATTTTCAGCCATTTCTGCTTGGTGTTTGCTGCTGCAGGCATCTGGCTTAAAGGCCCCCAGCAGTGACCCTGGCATGTCCCAGTGAGGGTGGCGTGCTGTGCCATGGAGCACGGCAGTGCCGTTGGGCAGGCATCAAGCAGCTTTGCTCTCCTTCCTCTCCAAATCCTGCAACAACTTCTTGGCACCAATGGCAGCCTGGAGAAACACACTTGAAGTTTCCCATCCTGCTGTTGAAGGATGGCTTTTGTAGGCTTGAGTCACCTATGGGAGTTTGATGTAACTTTCTTTGGCCCCTCTGCATGAAGCTTGTGCTGCGTGGCAGCATCGCTTCGGGGAGCAGGAAGGTGATCCTTCCCAAAAGAGGTGCTGGTAAGAGGTGACTCACCTGGCTCTTGGCACACAGCTGCTTCACCAGCCTGTGGGTTGATCACTGCCAGTGTGTGGCCTGGGAGAACAGCACATGTCACGAGTGTTCGGGCAGTGTTGCGGGGCTCAGCCCTGCTGTGTCTCAGATTCTTGGAGTAGGCTGGAGCAGGATTTGTGGGTGATCTTCTCTTCTTTAAGTCCAGTTACAGTATTTTGGGAGCCCCTGACTGCTGTGAGCTCCCACAGTGCTGACCTGGGGCTGTTTTGCCTTCAGCTGCCTGTGCTCTGTCCCAGCTGTGGTGGTCCCTGAGCCTGAGTTGGTTCCGTGTCTCGGAGCGTGTTCTGCGTCCCTTCCCGAAGTGTGTCTGTGCCACTGTCACTCAAACAGCCTGCTCACGATTTGTCAGCTGCAGGAAGATGTCAGTCAGTGCTGCCAAAGTGTGTTTTACAGTGACAGCCATAATTGCACTTAACTTTTTGCATGGATGTTATCAATCTCTGACGGATACTTTGGGAAATGGAGCACTCTGATTGCAGACGATGTGTCACAGGCGTTTAATCTTCCTCTCGAAGAGACTGGGATGCAGTCACAACTTTTACTTGTTGATGTCAAGTTGTGAAGACGTGGATTTGTGCTGACCCTGGGAATCATTCAGTCACTGTTTGTGAGGCTGTCATCCCAAAGGTCAGTGGACTTACTGGAGAGAAGGAAGGTCTGGCTGCAATCTGCTCCCTTCCCTGTTTGCGCGGCTGGTTGTCGTGCAGGTTTGCAGGAGCAGAGCTCCCACTGCTTTCCCGGGGTGTCTGCACAGCTGCCAGCACTCCTGTCCGTGTCCCGTCCGTCGTCCCCCCCCACCCCCACCCCGCACAGCTCTGTGCCACCAGGTGCTCAGGTCTTCAAACGCTGCTCTGGCAAAGCACCACACCAGGGAAGTGCTGCTCTGGCCTTGATATGCAGATAGCAATTGCTGTGCTTAAAGCCCTTGGAATAAGAGCAAGATGTGTGAATTTGCCTCCTGTGCTCCCAATTACCTTTTCACTACTTAAGCTGCCCCTGCTTAGAGAAGGGAAATGCTTTGCCCCTGTTCTCTGCTTCCAGTGGAGCTTCGTGTTGAGGAATGTAGGATCTTGCTAGGCAGAGAAGTCTGATTTTTCGAATTGATTTATGAACGGTGTTTGAAGTCTGTGGTGTAAGCTTGGGAAGGGATCAGTGTGTGGCTTTCTGCTGCAGGCTGATAATGTGCAATCGTGGCAGCTCGTAAACCAGCACCAACAAGCTGGAATGGGTGCCCAAGCTGGGGCTGGGCTGTGCCAGCCTGACTCGGGGCAGTGGAAGGCAAGTGGGGTAATGGAAGGTATTTTTTCAGTAGCTACCCTATTATTTAAAAATAACTATATTAATTCTTTGTTTAAGTCCTTTAAAGTAGAATTTTATGGAGAGTCTGTAGGGTTTCCCGGGTTTCAGTGCTTTTCTGCTCTGGTGTAAGAGAGAAGCCAAGACTCGAGCAAGCTGCTGTGGCCTGAGGGGCAGGAGGCTTCCATGGAGCGTTGGGGGTCTGCCTTAAATCCCTCATCCACAAACCAAGTGCTGCCAGATGAGGAGCACCATGGGATGGATGTTTCTGGTGTGGCTGGAAGCTGCTCTGAGAAACATTGCCAGTGGGATCCTTTCAGCAAAGTGCTGCCTTCTTGACAGGGCTGCATGTTCTAATTTGTTCATTGGAACAGCCCTGAAGTAAAACCACCTTCTGACTTGCAACCAGTCACAGAATCATTTGCATTGGAGAAGACCTATAAGATCAAGTAAAAATTATAATACAGTAATTATATTCATTATTATATATTGAATATATTATTTGGCTTGAATGCT